GGGTCATCTTGTCATAGAAGGAGATCAGGTTAGTCAAGCAGGACCTGCCTTTCATAAACACGTGCTGACTGGGCCTGATCGGCTGGTTGTTCTATAAATGACTCGTGATGGCACTCAAGACGATCTGCTCATGACCTTCCCTGGCACCGAGATCAGACTGACAGGTCTGTAGTTTCCTGGATCCTCCTTTCAGCATTTCTTGTAGATTGGTGTCACATTTGCTATTCTCCAGTCCACTGGGACCTTCCCAATCAGGCAGGACTTCTGGCAGATAATGGATAGAGGCTTTTGTGTGAAGTCGACCAACCATTTTGTCCCATCCAGCCCCATAGACTTGTGAACCTTGAGAGGCCTTGAGTACACAGGATCAGACTTAGTCATTCTTTATCAAAACCAATGTCCAGTCTAAAGAGAAGCCGAGAAACATTCCAGTCGTCTAGACATAACAAAAAAAAAACCAATAAAAAAAAAAACCCTCCAACAAAAAAAGCAGAGTCTCTTCACTCCCAGTGTGTATTTTTTTCTCCTAACACTCCAGCATCTCTTGATACAAAAGAGAATGAGATACACCTCTTTTTCCAAACTTAACATTCCCTTTCAGAAGTCCTTCAGGAGAACATCTAAATCAAATGAAAATTCTTAGCTCAACAGGATGAATTCATAATGAACAGTGAGAAGGAGGAGACAAGCACATCATATCAAGATTTAATTTGAAGTCAAATGTTTTGCTGTTTTTGTTTCTTCTTTCAGTCTTGACACGAATCCAAGAAGGGAGAACTAGAATTAATGATACTCCCGTCTTTCATGTTTTATTAACAAGTCTTTTACACCTGGAAAACAACAACAAAAAAAAGACAGAGGACAACTCTAAAAATTACTGAAGGCAAAGCACAAAAAACCCAAGTGAAAGCTAGCTCTTACTAACAATAATTTCTTGTACATGTGACTGCACATATATGAACAAATGCAGTAACTCCCAGTTTTCCGCTTTTAACCAGAGATGGGAACATTTCCACAAATGATAAGAACATTTCCATGTAACTCCCTACATTTTACAGTAGATAGCACTGTGAGTCAGATGATTAAATAAAGTTCAGAACTTTGAGCAGCAGTTTTTTCCCCAGGTCTCACAGGCAAAATAATGGATCTAATAATTTTAGTTCTCTATGGCAAGAAAAAGGTGTCTGGCAACAGTCTAAACAGTTGGTCTATAACACCCAAAGGAGCAGAATAAACTTCAACTAAATCACTTAAATCACTTAGATGATATCTGAAATCTGAGGCTCCCACATATCTGTAACTAATAGAGGACCTGCCCAGTCAATCTGAAGAACCAATTGAGATTGGTGTTATTTACTTTCTTGTTTGTAAACAGACCTTGTAGACAGTATTATCTGCTGTTTCATGATAACTGCAGGTTTGGGAAATATGTATTTCAACATCTTATTACTTTTTTTCCCTACGTTTTTTATTTAGGAAAACCACACATAAACCTCTACAATGAAATAAGAATTTGAAGTACCTACAATTGTAGCCATTCAGAACCCAGAAATAATTTTGAGAATTTCTTCACATTCTGAATCACCTCTGTTGATATCATAGCACTGAAAATGTTTTGCTATTACACTGTGGAAGAGCAGCGCTGAATCTTATTTGCTAAAACTTTGTCTTACTAATACTGCAATATGTACAACATTGGCAAAGCTGGCTAAACCAGAGCAGTGTTTTTTTCCAAAACCAACTATTTCTAACCTTGCACTTTGAGCTGCAATTCTTTAGCTAGGGGCCTGCAAAATGGAAATCTCTTGTTATAGTCTATCTATAATTCATGTCAATGTAGTTCAAGACTAGAGTTTTTGCCTGACATTTCCCTCACAGTGTTCATCCTGTCCTTTTGTGCTTGTCATGAAATAAAGAAGCATCTATTTATAAATTACATAGGATATTAATAAATTCAATAGGAAACTCTCAACTCTTTAGAGCTTGAGTGGGTAGTCCTATGCACTTTAACAAACAGAAAAATAGTAGCAAATAGAAGCTACAGTTTTCCTAAAGTAAAAAAAGATGTTAGAGGTCTTGACTGATGTTATTCGTAAACCCTTATTGGGCTCTGAATCTCTCCCAAACTACTTATCTAAGTTGTTAAAGAAAACAGCTTTTTATCAAGTGTTTAATCATTAAACTCCTAGAAGAATTTGTTCTTGTTTTGTACTTCTGTCAGAGGATTACGGCCCAGCATTTACCAACAGTTGATTTGAAGCAACATAACCTAACCGCTGGTCTTCACTTGGGCGTAGAGACATGGTGTTATTTCTACTTCAGTGGCAAAAACTTTAACTTTAATAGCAAAAGCTAAAACTAAAGTTTTTTTCCAAAATTTTTGTTTATTTGCAGATTATTTTTGGCTTACTTTTTCTGTCACACATTTGATTGTTCAGGTGCATCTCCCTTTCTGTAAGTGTGTATTTGGCCTTTAATATCTCGGTCCCTAGCTTTTAAATGCTAAAGATGCCAATTGTGAATAAATATTCCTAAGGTAATGGAGATAAATCCACACTAAACTAATTCCACGTCTCCTTCCAAATTTATCCCTAAATCTCAGGAGATAAATAGCTAATATATTAGTCCATGAACAGTTCGATTAAATTAAGGTTTCCTCTTATTCTGTGAGATAGTAATAAGGAAGTAATAAGAAATAAGTAATAAATTTTAGTAATGTACCTGGGGCTGGGTCGTCATCAAAGACAGATGAATAAAAATTATCTGTTTTCCATAATGAAAGCTGAGAAATGTATTTGATATGTGTGCTTGAAAATAAATGTCATCTGGAAGTGAAGAGATTTCACTGACACTGACAACCCCAATGCAGGTAAGAGGCTAGAAGGAGACATTTTCATTATACTTATTAATATTTCAAAAAGGTGTGTATCCACCTCCATTCCGATTTGCATTTCTGTTGAGGTTCTAATACTCAATAACTCTAAGAATTTTCAACCACTTTGAGACTGGGAGGAGAGAAGAACGCCAGGAGTTTGAAGCAAGGAAAAGTTCCTTACACCGATGACCATAGAATCATCTAGATTGAAGACCTTTAAGATCATCAAGTCCAGCTGTAAACCTAACACTGTCAAGTCCATTGCTAAACTATGTCCCTAAGCACCACATCAACACATCTTTTGGCATAAGTAGTAGTAATCCATCTCTTCTGGCCTCTATGACTAAGTAGCTGAAAACTTCACCTGCTCTTTGAGGAGTTTTTCTTCTATCTATCACATGCTGCATTCTGAAAAAAAATCTTGTTCATCTACTGAGCTGACTACACCATTCTGCTTCATCAGTAACCTTAGAAAATTATGTTTGTTACATGGACAGAACATTTAGTGATAACTGTACAGTTTAACTCAAAAAGCTAAAATGTATCTCCTTAGTAATAATGATTTTACAAAGTTCTTGGCTTTATTTTTTCCTGCTGGCATACAAACACAGTCAGACAGCAATAGGCAACCCATAAAACATTTAGTATTTTTTCTTATA